TTTGAGAAACACTGATTAGGCTACGACTCTCCTCCTGGCTCTGGCTATATGGGTGGGAGTTGATGGGGGCACAGGGGTGCAGGTTCTTCTCTGCCATCAAGTAATGCTATGATCCAACAAGAGTGCCTTTTTATAAATACCTGTTCAATTCTTGGTCTAATAACAAAGCATTTACGATTCGGGAGAAGTATAAAACCTCTCATTTTGTGTGGAGAGGGAAGGAAAAACCATCCAGAGCAGCAATCCCATTACGGCCTTACATTCAGTCGCTTAAGAGTTTCCTTCCCTGAAAAATGAGCTTCTTAAAATTCCCCCCTCCCCCCAAAATTAATGAATTGTTTTATTTTTAAAAGTACTTACATTTGAGGATGTAGGAAGTAAGCAGCATCAGCAGCCTAATTCCCTTAAGCTTTTCACAGTAATATTTGCAGCACAAATCCAAGCACTTTAGGTACGTTTTCTCAAACTTAGAGAAGGTACTTTTCTTTCTAACACCTACAGAACAATTTATTATGTTTAGGAACATGAGACTGGCTTTTGTGATTTTGAAGACCGCCAATCCACACAAGGCTTTGTGGCCCAATAAACAAACCCAATAATTTTAGATAGTAGTTAGAAATTTGCATGCAGTTTAAGCATTTTTTAAAACGCTGTAACTTGGGCTTTTGTTTTTTAATAAAAAGGCTACACGTTTTATTTTTCCTTTTTCTTTCAAAATGGGATGAGGGCTATCTACTAAAGAGAGACTGTCCCTTTCGCCTGAAGGAAAGGATGGAATTACAGAGACCAGATACTTCCTTACAATTTTCTGCAGTTCATACCAGATATCATGCAAAGAGTTCAACAGCATTCTTCGTAAAAATGTAAATACTACTCTTTAAATGGGCATGTAAAAGCCACTGAAAAAGACCACTCGACTATATTTCTCCCCCCGCCCACAATCCCATTATGTTGCTTTCATTCAGTCATTGGTAGTAGAAAAAGGTTAATTTAATGGGATCAACAGGCTCGTTTATCCATCAGTAACCAAGAACATCAGTGTGCAGAAAAGGAAAAAAGGCTCATTGTGTGTTTATGCAATGTAGTTGTACTGATTGGGGTTCTCCTTGTCTCTTTCCATGTAGTCTCTGTCAATTAACGATTCTATTCTCTTCTTAAGGTCAGCAGGCTGAAAAGCAATACAGAAAGTCAGAAACAATGGCTGCATAAGGAAAAAACAGAGCGAAAAGAATTAACGAAATACATTTCATTTAAAAAGATACATTATACATCGGTATATTAATTTTATCTGATTCTTTTTGTACGTCTGGACTTGCAAACCAAAGTGTATTCATATTTTTGATGACTATAAAATGTGGACACGTATTTATATCTTCCTATGTAAAGAACTACTTTTGACTTCTTTAAGTAGAAAGGTATTTTCCTGAGAAAAGCCTCTACTGCTCTAAATGAAGCAAATTATTTAGCTATGCTGGATGTTAAAGTAATAAATGGTTTTGTTTTTGAGAAAGTATTACAAGAAGCAAAGGACGGTTGTATTTGCACAGAATTCTGGCTTATTAGTGAGTTAGCATGCTGGTGCTTGCCAATCTAACCAGTCTGGCTAGATCTTCTTGTTAATGGTCACAGCTAACAGTCAGACAGCTCCATTTGTGGTAGCTGCATGAATGCAACATAAACTCTGGTTTGTTCCTCTCAAGAGAAGCCAAAGCTGGAAACAACAATTTGTCCTTGGCTTCAAAATCTTTCCTGTCTTGAGAACAGCAACTCAAAGTCCCTAGCTTGAATGAAAACACAGATCATTTTTGTTTCATCCATTTCTAAAGAGAAGCCAGCGGGCATAATGGGAGCAACGTGTAACATGATTATGTTTGTTTGCTGATTAACCAAAATGATGAGGAGTTCTATCTTAAACATATCCACTACTTAAGAATGAAGCCTGGACATATAAAATAAAAGTACTCTACCTTTACTGGGAATTTCAGCTGGTTGTATACTTCAGAGACAAGCAGATTGTGGGTAAGTGTCTTGCGCATCTTCATGATTCTCACTATTGCCGCATCAATTTGGTACTGGCGATCCTGAAAGACCCTCTCTGTAGTGCTTGCTTGTTCTTCTACCTGCAGGAGGAAGCAACCACACCACCTTTGCCTTCTAAGAGTGAACACGAGGTTAATTCAGCCTTTCCCAGCCTGGCGCCAGGAGGTGTAGTTTAAAAGTCTCAGAAGGTGTCAGGGTAGGAAAGACTGAATTAATTGAAATTAGTATTTAATTTATGTTTGGAATTGTAAAGTGTCAGTGTTTGGGTTTTACTGGGTACCTATTTCCTCTGATGAAGAAACCGCCTCCAAACCCCATTCAGATGAGCCATCTGTATGTATCTTATTAATGAATTATGCAGTGTATATGCTGCTCCATTTCTGACAAAGTAAAGCAGTTTGTGTAGTGAGGAGAAAAGCCTTCTGTACGTATACAATTTTAGCTCTGGATCCCCAAATGCCTCTTCCCAGACAGATCTTGTTTTTGACCATTTATTAAGGCAAGATAAATCATCTCTGGATGTTGCTTCTACTGAGCATGATACAATGCACAGTGGTTCTGGGGTCCTATTGAGACTCCATCGGCACTTTTAGAAAATAAAGATGATGGCTGGCTGTATGTTGCATGTTCACTTGCTCAGAAACCAAGTCAAAAGACAAAGGTATAATAAGTGGTAGAAACCATCTTGGGGGGCTAGGAATGGCAGCCAGAGGGGGTAAGGCTCATCTGCTTGCTCTCTGACGGAGGGCTTTGTTGACTGGCCGTTTCTACCATCACAGCCATTTTGTGAAAGCATTCACAACCTGCTGTCAGAATCCCCCATTGTTTATGACAGTGTTGTCCAAACTTGGCCAGTTTAAGATGAGTGGACTTCAACTCCCAGAATTC